GGCCCACGGGAACCTACACCGTACCGAGCCAGGCCCCAAGCCGCCCCTGTGAGGGAGAGGACAGCGTGGTGCCGCTCTCACTGTGGGAGGAACACCCAGAGCAGGGTGGAGGGCTGACCGGGCGGGCGGGGAGGCTGCCGCGTGGGACTGCCCACCCCGCGCACACTGGTGCCCGGCTCTGCTTCCGCTGACGCCCAAGGGAGATGCTGCTCTCTTCCCCCTTTCACTTGCACTCTGCTTTACAGACGCTGCCAGGGTGCAGGCGGCGCCTCGCACCACCGCGCTGAGCTCTGTGCGAGCTGAACTGGAACGGTTAGCAAGGAAGGTCCAAGTCCAGGGCGTCCGGACGGAGGAGAGCACATACGGCTGACCTCCTGGCTCCTGGCTTTGGATCGGCACAGCACCGGCCGTCGCGTTCATTTGAGAAGTGAGCCATTGGATGGAAAATCTGTCTCTCCTCTCTGTATATCTGACTTTCCAATAAAAATAAATTTTTTAAAAAAAAAATTAAAGATGAAGCAAAAACAACACCACATTATCACCGAAACTGTTGGACATGTGTAGACAATGGGATGCTGGACTGACATTGTATCAACAGCGTCGGGGTGCGTTACACAAGACTGACAGAACCATGGTTCCTTATGGACCACACCACTGTAAGAACGTGGGGAAAATCTGACGGCGGGGGGAATTTGAGGAGGAACCCAGCCTATATGAAATTGTACCACATAATCCAAAATTTAAAACACAGCACTAGGAGCCTGAAGAGTGCAGGGCCCCGGGGGAGCGGGCGATGGCAGGACCCCCGCAGGCCCCTCAAACGCTCAGGCAGGTTGGGGCTGCCGCCCCGAAACGGGGACCATGGGGACCCTGGGGACCCAGCGGGCGCCAGGCCCAGCCCCGCTGGTGGGGACCCAGGTGGGGCTGTTTGGGGAACCAACCAGCAGATGGCGCTTTCCAGCTCCATTTCTCAAATATACGTGAAAGCTTGCCTTCCTCCACCCTCCCTCACGCACTTGGGGATCCCCATGGATCCTCCCGCTGCAGCCGCCCTGCCTGGGGTGAGCACAGGCCAGTCCCCCGAGCGTCTCAAGAACCCTTGCTTTCCCATCGGTTGGCTTCGGGCACTCCCGGGCACCAGGCAGGGGACACAGCGGGCGCACCTGGGATGGAGAGCCCCTAGGAGCTCTCTGACACCCCTCTAAAGGGCGGAAGACCCAGACGCCGCCCCAACAGGCCAGGCTGTCACACAGGCTCTGCCGCCTCCCCGGTTCCACTGGGCAGCAGCAGCAGCGCGGATCTGCGAGGCCTGTGCTGGCCACCTGCGCCTGGCCTGGGAGAGCAGTGCAGGACGGGCCACACGCTTGGACCCTGCCAGCCCCAGGGGGAGCAGGAGGAGGCTCCGGGCTCCTCCTGGCCTGTCACTGGCTGTTGCAGCCATCTGCAGAGTGAATCTGCACATGCAAGACCTCTAACTCGGACGTTAAACACCCTGTGAACTGATGAGAGGAAAAGCCAGTGTCAATTCCGCAGATCTCCACCAACGCCCAGCACAGAAGTGACTCCTACAACCCATCTTGTCATTTTTCCAAAAAACGGATTTAATTGCTTGAAAGGCAGAGTTCCTGAGACCTGCCGTGAGAACAGTCCCTGAGGGCCACAGCAGCCGAGCTGCATCAGGAGGCCAGGAGCTCCACCGGGTCTCCCATGCGGGCAGCAGGGACCAAGCCACGTCGGCAGGGAGCCAGCAGTCAAGCAGCTGGGACTGAACCAGTACCCACATGGGTGATGTGTGTAGCAGCTCAACCCACTGTGCCACAATGCCCATCCCAAAGACCAAATGGACAAGCAGGCAGCTGTGGGACGGGCTGGAGTCAGCAGTCAGGGGCTCCCTTCACGGCTGTAGTGACAGCGGTCACCCTGTGGCCCAGGCAATGGCACCAGAAGGCCTTGTCGAGACTTCTGTGGGGCTGGGCTGGCTGTGCCCACCCTGGGGGCTACCACTGCCTCCTCAACTCAGTCCCCAGCCCCTGCCCCACACCCTGGTGCTGCCTGTGGCCCACCCTCTGAGGACCTCTTGCTCTCCAATTCTTGCACGTAAAACAAAAACCCACTGCCCCACGCTGCCCACAGCCCCACGCTGCCCACAGGCACAGCTCCCCACAGCCCCACGCTGCCCACAGCCCACGGCTCCCCACAGCCCCACGCTGCCCACAGCCCACAGCTCCCCACAGCCCCACGCTGCCCACAGCCCCACGCTGCCCACAGCCCACGGCTCCCCACAGCCCCATGCTGCCCACAGCCCACGGCTCCCCACAGCCCCACGCTGCCCACAGCCCCACGCTGCCCACAGCCCACGGCTCCCCACAGCCCCACGCTGCCCACAGCCCCACAGCTCTGGGCTGAGCCCCGTCCTGGTGGAGTATCTGGGGAAGTCCTACCTCAGAAAGTTTGTGCTTAAAGCATGTGACACAGCCAACTGCACTGGCCTGCTTATAGTTGTAAAACGTGTGCAAAAAAATAAAGCCAGGGCCCAGCACGACAGCATAGCCGTTAAAGTCCTCGCCTTGAACACCTGGGATCCCATATGGGCGCTGGTTCTAATCCCGGCTGCTCCACTTCCCATCCTGTCTCCTACACTCATGGGAGGCCTGAAAGAAGCTCGAGGCTTCACACTGGCCCAGATGCAGCCATTCACGCAACTGAGGAGTGAACCAATTGATGGAAGCTCTTTCTTTCTTAAAAAAAAAAAAAAGATTTACTTGAAAGAGGAGCAGCCAGGAGCACAACCAGCACCACAGGTTTCCTCAGCTCGCACCAACCCTGCTCGCCGCTCATGCACCTTGGGGAGCAGAGGGGCCATGGCCTTGGGCCCCGTCACCTGCACGGGAGACCTGATGGAATGTCAGCCCGGCCTCAGCCTGGCCCCCTTCGGCCCCTGAAGGAGAAGCAGCAGGTGGAGCCCCCTCCTTTTCTGTGGACCACTCGTTCTAAGCAAGCAAATCTTTAAAAGCAACTCAGAATGGGGGAGAGACCACAGACCCCATCTCCGAGGACTGGTTAGCCTTCCAAAGGTGGAACGAACAAGCAATAACAGCTCAGCCCCAACCCAGACGAACCGCGGGGAACCTAGAGCGAACCAGCCCAGGCCAAGACGCCCCCATCCTTGGACACTGCCAGCAGCCGACAACCACGATAGCCCACCGCACACTGCAGAGCCCGTGGCGGCCCAGAGGATGGCCAGCACCAGTGGGGAGGCCACGTGGCAGGTGGGCACCCTGTCGGCCCACTCCCTGCTGCCATTCCCAGTAAAGCAGACAGCTAGCTGAGCAGCCTCACCGCTGACCGGCGCTCCGTCCCAGGGCAGTAGTTAGGTAAGCCTCACCCAGCGGTGCCCACACGTGCAGGGCAGCTCCCTGCAGGGGTTCAGCAGCACCCGTCTGGCACCACCGAGACGAGACACCTCTGACAGGAGCCATCGAGCACCAGTGTAAGCAGAGGCACCTACTTGGTCAGGCCAGGAGCCAGTGACCTGCAGAGGCAGACAGCACCTAGAGGGAGCAGGATGGACGCAGCGTGCAGCTGGGCAGGAAACCGCGGAGGCCTGTGGGTGCGGGAGCCAGCCCGGGGACACTGGGGCTGCTGCCAGAAGCCCACATCTCACCGGGTCCCATTGGCCTCACCACAGCTTAGCACCCGCCCTGGGCGCCTAGGAAGTGAGCAGTTGATGGGTGCTCTTCCTCTGCCGCTCGCTGAACGCTCCAAAGTCAAGTCCCAAGCTCTCCAAGGAACTTGGGAGGGCAACAGAGGCCAGCAGCCATGCATCCCACCAAGGTGACCCGGGCAACAGCAACGCCCCCAGAGAATCGACGCCAGCAGAGCAGCTGGGCCACAGGCCGGGGTGTAAGCTAGCGGAGGTGGAGGGCAGGGAAGACACACAGAACTGGCGACTCTGGGCAGGACTCCCCAAAGGGCCAGGAGAGGGGGCGCCGGCACCCCAACACAGCAGGCTATGCCTATGCAGTGATGACGGCATCCCATATAGGCGCCGGTTCTAATCCCAGCAGCTCTACTTCCCATCCAGCTCCCTGCTGTGGCCTGGGAAAGCAGTCTAGGACAGCCCAGAGCCTCAGGACCCTGCACCCGCGTGGGAGACCCGGAAGAGCTTCTGGCTTCAGATCAGCTCAGTCCGTTGTGGCCATCTGGGACTTGAACAAAGCTTGGTGGGGGAGGGGAACGGCCCTGGGCCGTGCACAGTCCAGGGGAGGCCCCCTGGCTCCCGCCCCACCCCGAACCACCTTCTCTCTGCCCATTCTGCCTTTCAAGTACAGACAGATCCGCCTGCCTGCCACCCAGAGGGCCGCCCGGCACAGACCGCACAGCTTGTCCCCTCTCCACGTGTGCAGGCTCACGCTGCCGGCCCCGCACTCACCCGACACGGGCGAGGGCTCCCGCTTGGGCTGCAGGCGGCTGGTCTGGGGCAGGAACGGGTTGTTGAGCCTGCGGGCCGGGGCCACGTCAGCGGGAAGGGGAGCCCCGACCCGCCATCCCGCCATCCCGCCATCCCGCCATCCCGCCATCCCGCCATCCCGCCATCCCGGCCCCGCCGCGCACCCGAACGTGTTGGGTTCCTCCACCACCTTCATCTTCAAGGCGGCAGCCGGCGCGGGCCCTGCGGGGACAGGCGTGAGGCCGAGGTCGCGGCGGGCGGAGGCCGGGGTCGGGGTCGGCCGCCACACTCACCGCGCGCCGCCAGCCCGAGCAGCAGCAGCAGCAGCTCCACGGGCGCCGCCATCGCCCCGCCGCGCGTCACGGGCGACTCCGTGCGTCACGCGGGCGCCGGAGCGGAAGGAGCGACTCCGTGCGTCACGCGGGCGCCGGAGCGGAAGGGGCGACTCCGTGCGTCACGCGGGCGCCGGAGCGGAAGGGGCGACTCCGTGCGTCACGCGGGCGCCGGCGCAGCGCTGACATGTCCGGCGGCCGTGCGCCCCGCTCCCGCCATGGGCCGCCGCAGGACCGCGCGAGGATCGGGGCCGGAGGGCGGCCGCGCCCGGCGGGCCCCGGGCCGCGCCCTGGAGGCCTTCGCTGAGGAGCTGGAGGCGGCGCTGCCTGGTGCGTGCGGGCGATGGCGGGTCGGAGGCCCCGCCGAAGCCCAGGCCTGACCCTTGTCTCTCCCGCTGCAGCGTCCGCGGGGGCCGAGGCCGCCGCCCGCCCGCCGCCCTGCGTGCTGGCCATGTGGGAGCTGGGCCACTGCGACCCCCGGCGCTGCACCGGCCGCAAGCTGGCCCGCCTGGGCCTGGTGCGCTGCCTGCGCCTGGGACACAGGTTCGGCGGCCTGGTGCTCAGCCCCCTGGGCACCCAGCTCGTGTCCCCCGCAGACAGGTGGGTGCCCGCGTCGCACGCCGGCGAGAGCCGTCCCGGGACACCGTCCGGCAGGCCCTGCACCGTCCCCCGCCGTCGCTTCACTGTCCCCCACCGTCTCTCCATTATCCCCCTGCCGCCCCTGCGCTGTCCACCGTCCCTCCCTTGTCCCCCGCCGTCCCTCCGCTGTCCTCCATCCCTGCACTGTCCTCCACAGGCAGCTCGTGGCTCAGGCTGGGGTCGCCGTCATTGACTGCTCCTGGGGCCGACTGGACGAGACGCCCTTTGAAAAGATGCGGGGTGGCCACGTGAGGCTGCTGCCCTACTTGGTGGCCGCCAACCCCGTTAACTACGGCCGGCCTTGCAAGCTGTCCTGCGTGGAGGCCCTGGCTGCCACTCTCTGCATCGTGGGTTCGTTCGAGGGTCCTGTGTGCCCGCCTCTGGTCTGCTGTATGCCAGGGACTCAGCGTGGCCCCCATTGTGAAACCTCTGCCCCTCAGGACGGGTGTGGGCAAGCCCTGCTCACCCTTAGAAGTCACCACCTAGGGGGCTGTGGGGATGGGCCACGCCTGGGTCCGCCAGTCTCCACTGTGGAGAGGGGCCAGGAGTCTGCAAGGGGAGGCACGCAGCACCCGAGCCCCAGGGGGGACTCTGAGCCAACTTCTCCTGCACCCTCAGGCCTCGCTGACGTGGCCAACGTTATACTGCGCAAGTTCAAGTGGGGTGAGGGCTTCCTGGACCTGAACCGGCAGCTCCTGGAGACGTATGCGGCTTGCAGCTCCCCCAAGCAGGTGCAGCAGGCCGAGCAGGAGTTCCTGGCCAGCACCCAGCACTCGTCAGAGGAGGAGCCCGGTGAGGCCGCGTGGCGGGAGGTCGGGGCACGTGGTGGCAGCCCCCAAAGCGCTGTACCTGCCCCAGCTTAGAGGTTGTCTCTCCCCCCGTCACTCCAGATCCCTTCGATGTGGACTCAGGGCGGGAGTTTGCCAACCCCAATAGGCCTGTGACCAGCGCCCGGTAGGTGCCCAGCTTCAGCCCCTGCTGCTTCTGGGGAGCTCTAGACAGGGCTGCCTGGACCCCCGGGGATGACCCTTGGGGTACCTCCCCTTTGCAGGCTGTCTGCCAGCAAGGACACAGACACAGACACCGAAGCCGACACGAGCGACAGCGACCAGGCTGAGGACCGGGTGCCTGACACCGAGGACAGGGAGGGCAACAGCAACTGCTCAGGGGACGGGCGCCCTGCCCGAGAACACAGCGGCACCCAGGGCTCGGGGGACGGGCGCCCTGCCCGAGGACACAGCGGCACCCAGGGCTCGGGGGACGGGCGCCCTGCCGAGGACACAGAGGCAGCGTAGACTGAGACTGCAGTGTGTGTATTTGGGGGCAGCTCATGCGGGTGGGATGGGGTGGGCTCTGGTGCAGTCCACTACTTGAATGAAGCTGCAGACTGGAAGCACGTGGCAGCCTCTGCTTTCATGCCGGCTCCTGGGAGGGGTGGGACCCATCCCTGGCCAGAAGGGCCGACAGACCAGAAACGTCACGGGGTGTCGGGGGAGCAGGGCCAGTGCTGGTATCTGCGTGGGGCTTGGGGCTCACATGTTCACGGCACACATGAAAACCAGCCTGGGGGGCCACAGCACTTGGACGGCTGGGGGCGGCGGGGTGCGTGCGCCCAGAGGGGCTCAGGGATCTGCCTCCATGCACTTGTCCATTTCCTTCAGTCTCCTCACAAACTCCTGGGCCTCCTTGTTGGCGCGGCCCTCCAGCATCCTGAGTGCAGATCGCACTGTGGGGCGGGCGGGTGTGTGAGCAGGAGGCAGCTGGCACGCCCGGCCGCCGCACCGCACCCACCACCCGACACACTCACCTTGGGCTCTGGGCCGGCGCAACTGCAGGGTGACGGGCTGCACGGCCTTGACGGCGGTGCCCGCCTGGGGCCTGGCAATGCCACTGACGCTGCCCAGGGCCAGGGCAGCCTCCCCCGCGAAGTCATTGCTGGACAGCCAGTCGTGGTCCATGACGGTGAACAGTACGCAAGCCCCGCGCCGACGGCATGCTTCTGCGGGCACAGAGCTGCGGGCCGGGATGGTCACACGGGGACAACTCGGCCTGTGGGCCAGGGAGCAAGACAGAGCAGGGACTCACAAATGGAAGAGCTCCTCGTACACGGGGTGCAGCGTCCTCGCCTTCACCTGCGTCTTCTGGCTGCGGACCAGTGGGAACAGGTGCGGCGGGCCCAGCTCCACGATGACGAAGGGGTCGCTGAGGCCTAGGGGGCACAGCTGTGAGCCCTCGGGTGCCCCGCCCCCGTCCCGCCTGCAGCCGCCCCGAGCCCGCTCACCGTTGGCATCCAGGGGCAGCAGGTCGGCCGCGTGCAGCACCTCCACTGCCAGCCGCTGCTCAGCCGCCTCGTAGTGGCAGCGGACGCTCAGGCGGCCGAACCGGTTCTGCTCCAGGGACCTCTGTGGAAAGAGCAGTCAGCCTGGCCGCTGGGCGCTGCTTGTGCCACGAGCCCAGGCCAGCCCGCCCTACCTGCTTGAGCTTGTCCAGGTAGAACTGCTCGATGCACTCGCGAGTGGAGCACCTGTGCAGCCGCAGCTCCTCCTCCAGCCTCTGCAAGGAGGGCGGGGAGGGCACCTGGCTGCCAGCCCCGCCCATGTCTGCCTCGCCCCCGCCGCCCCCGCCTCACCTTGTAGCTCCCGTCCCTCAGGCTCTCCAGTGGCAGGCCCTGGCCCTCGGCATGGAAAAACCCGACCAGAGCCTGGAGCAGGGAGGCACAAGTGAGCATGGGCTCCTGGCTGCAGCCCCAGAAGCCAGCAGAGCAGCCCAGCACTGCCACCGGCCCCAGCAGACGGACCTCCAACGTGAAGTGGAAGCGGCCGTAGAAGTCGGCAGAGACGTCACGGTTCGCTCCCAAAGCCTGTAGGATCGCCTGCAACAGCAGCTCCCAGAGGGCCTCCAGCACCCTGCGGGACCCAGCCTCAGCCCACCCCGCGGGGACCCAGCCTCAGCCCACCCTGGCACCCCGCGGGGACCCAGCCTCAGCCCACCCCACGGGGACCCAGCCTCAGCCCACCCTGGCACCCCGCGGGGACCCAGCCTCAGCCTGCCCCGGCACCCCGCGGGGAACCAGCACCAACCCTTGCCCCTGGCCGCACCTGCCCAGACTCTCCTTCACCAGGGAGGCTTTCAGCAGGGCCAGCTTCTCGTCCAGGTACTTGAGGAGCGGAGCCACAGCCTATGGGAGTCCCCAGGGCAGCGTCGGCCTGGGCCCCACCCACTCCCAGCACGCCCATTGTCTCCTGGTTCTTGGTCCAGGCCTCTCACCTCCTCGTTCTGAATGGAATCAGGCGACAGGCTGATGTGCTGCACGTACTTTTGGGTGTCACTGACCATCTGGTGGGACAGGCAGCACTTAGCACGGCCAGGGGCAGCCCCCACACCCGGTCCCCAGGCCAGGCCGCCCCTGCCTACCTTGGAGGTCAGGTGTGCTGTCACGGTGTGGGCGTCCCGCTGCAGGTCATCGTCCAGGGCCGACATGCAGCTGAGCAGGGAGCGGGGAAGCCCACCCTCGGTGCCCTCGGCGCCCTCGGGCCACGCCAAGCCCCCCAGCGCCTGCCGAGCGGCCTTGCGCACCAGCTCCACGTCGTTGAGCACCACACACAGCTGCAGCGGCCGGGGGCGCAGAGTGTGAGTCAGGGGGCCGGGACCGGGGCCTGCCCAGCCCACCCGCCCCTGCACCCTGGCTGGCCAGCACTAGCTCACTCACCGCCTCGCCAGCTCCCTGCTGGGCATCTGCCTTCTTCCGCAGCAGCGCCGTGTAGAGCAGGGTGGCTTCACACATGTCCTGTGGGGCGGGCACCGGGCAGAGGCGTGTGGACCTGGCCCTGCTGCTCCCAGGCCATGCCCCGCCCCGCCCTGCAGCTGACCTGGCTGAGCTGCAGGCCCAGTGCCTGGGCCTGGCCGGGGTCTGGCCATGCCAGGCGGGCCCAGAGTTCCTGGATGTGGCCCAAGCAGAGGCTGGCGGTGGCAGCCGAGCTGCTGTGCTTGGAGGCAGCGTCCACAGGCTCCAGCTACGGCAGGGCCAGGAGAGAGTAGCCAGTGTCACAGGGCCCTGGAACAGCCCCACTGACCTCAGGCTGGAGCCCTCACTCACCGTGTCTGCTTCTACAGCTCCCTGAAGGCGCCACTTGGCTTGGTCCCGCAGCACCTGCAGCCAGAGCTTGATGGCTGGCAGGAATGGGACGTGGATGCCGGCCAGGGCCAGGGAGCGGCTGTCCCTGCGGGGGCAGGGGTGGGGGTACAGTCGGACATGCCCTCCAGTCCCAGGCTGGGATGCCAAGGCCTGAGGGGTGCGGGTCACGCACCGGCCAGGGATGCTGCTCCAAAGGCGTTGAGTGTCCGCCAGGGTCAGGTAGAGCTCAAAGAGCCCCGAGGCCACGTCCAGGGTCATCTTGGGGCCCAGCTCCTCCGTCAGCACCCAGGCCTCCTCAGCCATCTGCCCCACAGGGTGGCATGAGGCCAGCAGCGGCCAGGAGTCCTGGGCGGCCCCCCTCCCCCAGCCCCGCACGCCCCCTCACCAGACGCTCCAGCTGCCGGAAGGTGAGGGTGAAGAAGTCTACCTTGAGGCTGCTGTGGAGAGCACGTCTCAGCCTCGGGCGGCCCGCCCACCCAGACCCCGGGACCCCGGGCGCTGGCGGGGGAGCTGGCCCACCTGAGGAAGAGGCCGGCGTAGATGCCATAGCAGGACTGCAGGTCTTCGTAGACGGTGTCGGCCACCTGGATCAGCCCGGCCAGGCGCTGCGGCCCCGGCTGCAAGGAAGCCCCTGCTGCAGATCCGGCGCCGCCGGCGCCCTGAATCCCCCGCGCCCGGCCCGCCGCGGCCTCACCTGCTCCCGGGGGCTCCGTGCACTCAGCAGTCTGTCGTACCAGTCGCGGTTGCCCCTCTGCGGTGGAAGGCAGAGACGGGGCGGGGGCTGAGCCGCACACAGTGGGGCAGAGGCGGGGGGACTGCGGGGCCGCCCGGACCTCCCTGCACACCTTGAGAGCGGCGGCAATGTCCATGCTCAGCTCCGTCTCGAATGGGCAGATCTCAAAAGACGGCTGGAACAGCTGCAGCTTGTCCAGACACCTGAGGACAGCAGGCAGTGGGAAGGCTGCCCGCCGCCCGGGCCGCGCCACGCACCATGCACCGCGCACCGGGCCGCGCCACGCACTTGAGCAGCAGCTCCAGGCGGTAGACGGCCGTGCTGTTGGTGGCCGGGAAGTAGTCTCGGAGCTGACGCAGCAGCCGCAGCGCGAACTCGGAGAAGGCGGAGAAGCTGTCGGCCAGGCTCTCCTCCTGAAGGCAGCGTTCAGGCTCTCCCTCAGCCCCGCGTGCACCGCACCTGCCGGCCCCAGCCTGCCCCAGGAGGCCCACAGCCACCGTCCCCAGGGGACCAGCGCCTGTCCCCTGCAGGCCTCGGCCAGCCCTCACCTGCTCCTGAGGCAGCGACGCCGCCTCCTCCCAGTGCGCCTGCATGCCCTCCAGCAGCCCCAGCAGGTAGCCGTAGTCCAGCGTGCGCGTCTGGTGGTGCCGGCTGCTGACCTGCCAGTGCCTGGGGGAGGGGCCAAGGTGAGTCCGCTCCCGGCCCGCCCCTCGGTGTGGCCCCGCCCTGTCTGGACGCCCCGCCCACTCACAGCACGGCCCCGCCCCACTCACCGCACGCCCCGCCCACCGACCGCACGCCCCGCCTCTCACACGCCCCGCCCCACTCACAGCGCGCCCCGCCCACTAACAGCACGCCCCGCCCACTCACAGCACGCCCCGCCCGCCCACAGCACGCCCCGCCCACTCACAGCACGCCCCGCCCACTCACAGCACGGCCAGCTGCAGGGCCGACAGGTTGCTCTGCGCCCCGTGGAGGCAGAGGACGGTGGTCCCAGGCCCGCTGAGCTCGCCGCGCCAGCTGCTGGAGTCGGGCTGGGGAGGCAGCGCGGCGTGGGTGGAGGCGGGAGCCCGGCACCCCCGGCCCCAGCGGGGCGCCCACTACCTGCTCTGCGCGGTGCTCGTAGCGCAGCACGCGGCTGAGCAGCAGCAGGTAGGACAGGAAGCCGAAGCGGCCGCGCCGGCTCATCTCCGTGTCCCTCTGCAAGGAGAGCCGCCCGTCACCAGCGGCCCGGCCCGGCGCCGGGGCTGGGGGCGGCGGGGGGCCCTGGGCGGCCCACCTGAGTGGTGACCAGCTTGAGGACCAGATGGCAGTCCCCCTGCACACGGGAGGCACTGGAGCGCGGTTCCAGCTTGAACCAGCGGTCGACGCCAGCTACGGGCACGTCCTGGGGGGCGTGGAGGGCCAGGTCAGGCCACTGGCCTTGCAGAGCCCGCTTGGGGGGCCTGAAGGACAGCAGTGGGGGCTCGGTGGCAGCCCAGGGAGGCCCGGCAAAGCCGCACTCTCACCCTAACGGGGACGTTGAGGCAGCCCAGGAAGTCGTCCGCGTGGTCCTCGCCGGGTCCCGCCGTCCCGTTGGCACGGGCCGACTTAACAATCTGCTTCAA